TGGTGTGGTTTAATCCAGGCCGTTGGATCGTTTCTTTTGAGCGGCCAGGATTGCCGTTACATGAAACAGCGTCGTTTCGATTCAATGCCTGTAAGGCTGAGTGGGGGTCGGGTTTTGGGCTGTTTTCTGGGCCAATTTCTCTTTAAAATCTAGCCACTTCAGTTTATTTTCACAATTCAAATCACATTAGCCTCTTTTGCACACATGGCCTTATTGGCTATTACACAAATGGTACAATTGCACACACACAAATTAAACACAAAATGCACACTAACACATAATTAACACATAAAATCAATGCAAACATTATGCAATTAAATGACCTTAATAATGATAATTGCATTTTTAGCCGAAATTAACCGGAATCGCGTACTTTCGCAATTTCCTTTCGATCAGCTTGTGATTAATCAATTCCGAAAGCGTACGGTCAACTTCTAAAGGATGCAACATGTTATTTTCGTTTAATCACATTGATGGTGAGCAATTACGGACCACAAAATTACCAAAATGCCCGTAAGCTTTCAAAAAATTGCACCCGGGGGTGACTTGGCTTTTAATTTTTTATTTCTTTTGGAGTATTTTCCGTAAAACAAAAATCACGTGTTCACAGCTGCCCATCTTTGTTCGGAAACACGAAGGGTTTTAAGACAAAGATAATGAGCACGTGAGCGATTTTTGTTCGTCAGGATGCTCCGTATGAAGCGTTATTTGAAAAAGTTTTAACCGAACCTTCGCTTCAAAGGTCTCCTACATATCCCGGGCCGAAGGGGAATCAGGTTAATGTAGTTCGGGAAAAAGGTGATAGCTGGGACTACCAGGAGCTGTGATATCACTGTTTACTACTGCTGTTGCTGTTGCTGTTGCTAATTGCGCACTGACCTCCTTATTACAACCAAAAAAAGGGGAAATTAAACTAAACTAAGCTAGCTTTATTAGCTAGGAGTTACAAGATTCCTATCTATGATTCTCTTGAAAACTTGATCTTGAGTCTTAGCTAATTTTGTTGTAGACTTCGATCTGAATCTTGATGCTCGTGGCGCTGATTTTCTTTGGCTTCGGATCAAGGAGGGACATGCAAGGCTAGTGATTTCCATCATATCTTGGGCAGTCTGCGTCCTCTTCCGTTTCAACACTTGGGATTCGATTCTTTTGTACTTCTCTTCCCTTTTCTTGTTTTGGGCCGAGACTCACCTCGTAGGTCATCTCGGTCCCTGTGATTCGCGGTCGAACCTGCTCGGACAACCACAACAAACAAACGAACGAAATTTTTCTGCCCCAGTTTCGCTAGGAAAATTTGGTGAGTTAACTGTGACACAGAAAATGATCCAATGCTCCGCGGTTTTTCAGCCGGGGTATTTTGGAAAGCTGCACGGCTTTATTGGCCGTGAGATCCTCGGTTTTTTGGCCGGGATATTTTGAAAAAGCTACACGGCTTTATTGGCCGTGAGATCCTCGGTTTTTTTGGCGGGGATATTTTGAAAAAGCTACACGGCTTTATTGGCCGTGAGATCCTCGGTTTTTTGGTCGGGATATTTTTTGAAAAAGCTACACGACTTTATTGGCCGTGAGATCCTCGGTTTTTTGGCCGGGATGTTTTTTGAAAAGTTGCACGGCTTTATTAGCCGTGAGATCCTCAATTTTTTGGCCGGGATATTTTGGAATGCTGTACGGCTTTATTGGCCGTGAGATCCTCAGTTTTTTGGCCGGGATGTTTTTTGAAAAGCTGCACGGCTTTATTGGCCGTGAGATCCTCGGTTTTTTGGCCGGGATGTTTTTGAAAATCTGCACGGCTTTATTGGCCGTGAGATCCTCGATTTTTGGCCGTGATATTTTTTGAAAGCTGCACGACTTTATTGGCCGTGAGATCCTCGATTTTTTGGACGTGATATTTTTTGAAAAAGCTGCACGGCTTTATTGGGCCGTGAGATCCTCGGTTTTTTGGCCGGGATGTTTTTGAAAGCTGCACGACTTTATTGGCCGTGAGATCCTTGGTTTTTTGGCCGGGATATTTTTGAAAGCTGCATGACTTTATTGGCCGTGGGATCCTCGGCTTTTTGGCCGGGATATTTTGAAAAGCTGCACGGCTTTATTGGCCGTGAGATCCTCGGATTTTTGGCCGGGATGTTTTTGAAAGCTGCATGGCTTTATTGGCCGTGAGCTCCTCGGTTTTTTGGCCGGGATGTTTTTGAAAATCTGCACGGCTTTATTGGCCGTGAGATCCTCGGATTTTGGCTGGGATATTTTTTGAAAGCTGCACGACTTTATTGGCCGTGAGATCCTCAATTTTTTGGCCGGGATATTTTTTGAAAAAGCTGCACGGCTTTATTGGCCGTGAGATCCTCGGTTTTTTGGCCGGGATGTTTTTGAAAGCTGCACGACTTTATTGGCCGTGAGATCCTCGGTTTTTTGGCCGGGATGTTTTTGAAAGCTGCACGACTTTATTGGCCGTGAGATCCTCGGTTTTTTGGCCGGGATGTTTTTGAAAGCTGCACGACTTTATTGGCCGTGAGATCCTCGGTTTTTTGGCCGGGATGTTTTTGAAAGCTGCACGACTTTATTGGCCGTGAGATCCTCGGTTTTTTGGCCGGGATGTTTTTGAAAGCTGCACGACTTTATTGGCCGTGAGATCCTCGGTTTTTTGGCCGGGATATTTTTGAAAAGCTAAGGTAAACTATCATGGTTCGATTCTCTTCCGGGGATATTCACTTTCCATTCCCTTCCTAAGAGAAATTGGGTGGAGAAACTTACCTTTTGTTCGGTTGCTAGCCGCAAAGCCGTTTTAGCATTTGCGCATTTCCTTCCCTTTCGGGTGCACCTGCTTCTTGCTTGGTTGCTTTGGATGAAACATGCTTCAATTTTCCAACAAAGAACAATTGTTAGTTCGAAACGACGGTTGGTTTTGTGGCCTTGATTATTTCCATTGCTTGATCCTGGCCCTCCTTCCTTCGAGGACTTTGTCGCTGGTTGGCTTTGAGGGTGGCTTCCTTTCAATCCGGCCAAGTTCAGATTCATGGTCCCATGATGGCTCGCCCGTGTGGGGATCTGCTCTTTTACTTTACTCCTCTTCCGAAACCTTCGCCTTTGATTTCTTTTTCCTTTCCGAATGCCTTTTCCTTTGGAAGCAATCGATCGTCACGATCAATCGGGATCAGAATGACGCACCGCTGAGGCCGAGCACTTTATTTGACCTTGGTTGGCGAAGCCTTGTGAGACCGGTCCTGCCACCTTTCTTTGTAATAGTTTCGGAATTCACAGTTAAGCCGAAAGGGATTCAAAGAAAAAGTGAAAAAGGGTAGCAAAATGAATCGAAAAATAGAAGCGTCCCTTTCGGTGGGAAAAGAAGGACTTATCTGGGGTACATGCCGGCTTCAAACTGACATGACATGCGTCTTGGACTGGATGTCCGATCCTCACAAACTTGCATTTTTCTACTGAACCAAAACGGGTCTATGTCTCAAAAGGGAAACCTCGCCAGGACCGGTAGTGGAGGAAGTCTTTTTTTTCGGTCGACAGCGCCCTTTGCGGGTTTTCGCCAGTCGGCCTCTCTCTTTTCTCTTCTTACCATCGTCCGATAGTGCTCTTTGCGAGTTTTCACTAACAGACTCTCTCATTTTGGTTTCTCTGCTCCCGTCGCCTTATGGTGCCCGAAGGTTTTCACCGATAAGACTCCCTCATTTCATTTCTCTCAATTCAAAGTGGATCAGCTTTCTGCGACAATGCTGTTTTCTTGGTTTCCATGCTTTGTGTCGATCTGAAGGACTCGTGCTTGGTTTTGGGTGAGAAGATTGCGGACAAAATATAACTTTGGAATCATTTGGTGACTCTTGGTCAAGCCATTGCCCCAGTTTCAAGTTCGGGGAAAATTGGATTTTTATTTTGGTGTGACTGGACCTCAGGTAGAGGCTGCCTACGTATCCTTTCGGAATCAAGTCAGAACGTAGTTCGGAACATATATTGTTTTTTTTTGGTTTTGGTTTTTGGTTTTTTGGATTTCGAGGGGGTGACCAAAGAAAGGTAATCGGCTCAAAAGGTTTGCAAAGGGTTGATAGTGTTTGGGTAGTGGGAATCGGCCTTCGTCAAATCAGCCCTCGTCATTTCGACGCGCAAGGGTACCATCGAAGCATACTTAGATGTAATACCTTTTGACAGCATCTGCATTCACAGTTGTTTCAGGATCAATTCCTTCCATATCTCCCAGATATAATGCTCCTTTCGGCAGTATCTTCCTGATGATGTATGGACCCTTCCAGTTAGGAGCAAATTTTCCTTTCGCCTCCTGGTGGTGTGGAAGAATGCGCCTTAACACCAGCTGACCCACTTCAAAATTCCTGGGTCGTACTTTCTTGTTATAAGCACGGGCCATCCTTCGTTGGTACAACTGCCCGTGACAGACTGCAGCAATTCTCTTTTCATCAATCAATGTCAATTGTTCCAGTCGAGTTTTAACCCACTCGCTATCTTTAATCTCTGCTTCAACAATCGTTCGAAGCGAGGGGATTTCCACCTCTGCTGGTATCACAACCTCTGTTCCATAAACTAGCAAGTATGCGGTTGCTCCTACCGATGTGCGTACCGTAGTTCGATATCCCAATAGAGCAAAGGGTAATTGTTCATGCCACTGTCTAGAGCTCTGGATTGTCTTCCTCAAAATCTTTTTGACGTTCTTGTTCGCTGCTTCAACGGTGCCATTGGCTTTGGGCCGATAGGGAGTGGAGTTCATATGCGTTGTTTTAAATTGTTCGCATATTTCTTCCATCAACCGACTATTCAGGTTTGTAGCATTGTCTGTAATGATAGTTGCAGGAATACCAAAACGACAAATGAGATTTGAGTGTACGAAATCCACCACAGCTTTCTTGGTGACCGATTTAAGAGTGATAGCTTCGACCCATTTCGTGAAGTAATCAATGGCGACCAGTATGAATCGGTTCCCATTTGAAGCTTTCAGCTCGATCGGACCAATGACATCCATACCCCAAGCGACGAAAGGCCACGGTGCTGACATGGGGTGTAACTCAGTTGGAGGTGCATGAATTAGATCTCCATGCACCTGGCATTGATGGAATTTTCGGACGAAGCCGAAGCAGTCTTTCTCCATAGTTACCCAGTAATATCCCGCTCGAAGGATTTTCTTGGCTAAGACATACCCGTTCATGTGAGGTCCACACACTCCTGCTTGTACTTCATGCATGATTCTCCCTGATTCTTCGGCATCAACACATCTTAAGAGGTTAAGATCTGGTGTTCTTTTATATAGGACCTCACCGCTCAAAAAGAAACCATTTGCGTGCCGCCTAATGGTCCTCTTTTGATCTCCGGTAGCATTTTCAGGGTATTCCTGTGTCTTCAGAAATCTCTTGATATTATGGTACCACGGTTGGACATTTGGTCCGGCCTCGATTACATTGCAGTAACCATGTCTCTCCCTGACTTGGATTTCCAAGGGATTGATGTGGGCATTGCCTGGATAGGGCAACATTGAAGCTAGGGTGGCAAGTGCGTCAGCCAGCTCATTGTGACACCACGGGATGTACCTGAACTCTATTGACTTGAATCGCTTGTCGAGATCCTCCACGTGCTGCCGATAAGGGATGAGCTTGACATCTCGAGTTTCCCATTCACCCTGGACTTGACGGATAATCAGATCAGCATCTCCCATGATCAACAAATCTTCAAGACCTTGATCGATTGCCATGTTCATGCCCAAAATGCAAGCTTCATATTCAGCTGTGTTGTTCGTGCAGAAGAAACGGACTCTAGCTGTAGCCGGGTAGTGTTGGCCAGTAGGGGAGATCAAGATTGCTCCAATTCCTACACCTTTAGCGTTTACAGCCCCATCAAAGAACATCTTCCAAACATGGGCGTCTTCCAAGACGACCTCTATTGTGTTTACCTCTTCATCCGGGAAATAGGTATTCAGCGGTTGGTATTCCTCGTCAATCGGGTTTTCAGCCAAGTGATCTGTTAACGCCTAGGCTTTCATTGTCGTGCGAGTCACATAGACTATGTCAAATTCGGTAAGCAGGATTTGCCACTTTCCTAACCTCCCGGTGGGCATCGACTTCTAGAATATATATTTCAAAGGATCCAGCCTGGTTATGAGGTAGGTAGTATGGGCCTGAAGGTAATGTCTCAGCTTTTGAGCTACCCATGTCAAGGCGCAACACGCCCTTTCCAGCAAGGTGTATTTGACCTCATAGTCGATGAACTTCTTGCTCAAGTAGTAGATCGCTTGTTCTTTCTTTCCGGTAGTGTCGTGCTGTCCGAGGACACAACCGAAGGAACCTTCCAAGACCGTCAGATACAATAACAGAGGCCTCCCCGGCTCTGGTGGGACCAAAACTGGAGGATTTGAGAGATACTCCTTGATTTTGTCAAAAGCCTCCTGACACTCAGTTGTCCATTTGATCGCCGCGTCTTTCTTCAGTAGCTTGAATATGGGCTCACACGTGCTGGTGAGTTGAGCAATGAATCAACTGATGTAATTCAATCTACCCAATAAACTCATCACGTCTTTCTTCGTCCTTGGAGGAGGTAGATCTCGGATGGTTTTTATCTTTGTGGGATCTAACTCGATACCTCTTCTATGATCTCGGATGGTTTTTATCTTTGTGGGATCTAACTCGATACCTCTTCTACTCACTATGAAACCCAGAAGCTTGCCGGATGGGACTCCGAAGGCGCATTTGGCCGGATTCAGCTTTAGGTTATATTTCCTTAACCTTTCGAAGAATATCCTCAAGTCCCGGACATGATCGTCTTGAGTTTTGGACTTAACTATCACGTCATCCACATACACTTCTATTTCTCGGTGTATCATGTCGTGAAAGATGGCTGTCATGGCTCTCATGTAAGTTGCCCTGGCATTCTTCAAACCAAATGGCATGACCCGATAGCAGTAGGTACCCCATGGTGTGGTGAAGGCGGTTTTCTCAGCATCCTCTTCATCCATCAACACTGGTGGTATCCATCATAGCAATCCACAAAAGACTGTATCTCGTGTTTGGCACAATTGTCGACGAGAATGTGGATGTTGGGTAGAGGAAAGTTGTCCTTAGGGCTTGCCCTGTTCAGATCTCGATAGTCCACACACACACACACACACGTGTTTTTCCATCCTTTTTGGGCACGAGAACTACATTAGCCAACCGCGTGGCGTACTGGACCACCCGGATCACCCCAGTATTCCATTATTTCGTGATCTCCTCCTTGATCTTATCACTGACATCGGTTTTGAATTTTCTCTGCTTTTGTTGAACGGGAGAGCATTCAGGGTTGATTGGCAGCTTGTGTACTACCAGATCAGCACTCAGTCCGGGCATGTCGTCGTATGACCAAGCAAACACGTCTTTGAATTCAAACAGGAGTGAAATTATTTCATCACGTGTTTTATGGCTGGCGTGAATGCTTATCTTGGTTTCCCGAACTTCTTCTGAGGTTCCCAAATTAACCGGTTCTATGTCATTTAAGTTCGGCTTAGGTTTATTCTCTAAATGTTCCAGTTCTTGATTTATTTCCCTAAAAGCCTCTTCTTCATCATATTCCGGTTCTTGGTTCATTATTTCAGCATTAGAAAGTGCGTACGGATCTGGGCGTGCAGTCCTTGAGCATGCCATATTATTTAAAGCCGCATTCTTAGGACTGAAAAGAAGAAATAAAGACAAAATGGCAAAAATCAGAAAAGAAAGAGAAAAGGAAGACGAAATTTCATTTCTTAAGCAAACAGAGTTTACATTGGGAACTTGGAAAGAAAGACAAGAAACTAAAACAAGAAAACACCCGAGTCAACACTGAACCACTCGGGGTGTGGAAAGACAGTGGCAGAACAGGTCTACCAGGATTCCCGCCTGGTTGGGAATGGCGTGGCCTTCCAGTTTTGCAGCTTAGCATTTGGTTCCACATACTGCACCTCAGCGGTGCTGGTACCTTCTCCCGATTGAACCATATGGACGTCATAAAGCATCTGCCTCATGGCTCCGCATATGTCCTCGATCTCTTCCTCAGTGAAGGCCTCGTCTTCTTCTTCTTCGTCATACTTTGGCCTGACGAAGGTCTGGTATAGATGTGGTAGCGGCTGTGGCAAGACCCAACCGTTTCCTTTTCTCTCGTCGGCCCAAGCCTCGTCTTGTGGAGAAGGGTGGAAGCCTAATCCGAAGAACTTCTCAGTGGTGGGCAGAGTTATTGGTACTGGTATTCCTTGTAGGGATTTTCCCAGACCTTTTCCCGGCTGGAAACCATGTCTGAGCATCTCTTTTGCCACCATGATCGAGACATTAGACAGGCAAGGTTGTGGACAAGGACTTCCCTCTTCATATTGATCGGCCATCACAATGTCGAAGGCCTGATAGACGATATGCTCGCTCCCTTCTCTTGCCGCTAGATATGGGATAGACGGATCTCTGTAGATGGCATGTTCATCTTCCCCGTGAACCACGATCTCCTGATCTTCATGCTCAAACTTCACCATTTGGTGGAGAGTATATGGTACTGCCCCAGCAGCATAGATCCAAGGTCTTCCTAGGAGGAAGTTGTAGGAAGTGTCCATGTCCAGTACCTGAAAGGTCACCTCGAATTCCACAGGGCCTATACCCAATGTCAGATCTATTTCTCCGAGCGTTTCTCTTTTGATCCCGTCAAAAACCCTAACACATACATTATTAGAGCGGATTCTTGACGTTTGAATCTCCATCCTTTGGAGTGTAGAGAGTGGACAGATGTCAACCCCCGAGCCTCCGTCCACCATGACCCTCTTCACGTAGTACCCTTCATACTTGACGGTTAGATGCAGGGCTTTGTTATGAGCTGCTCCCTCAGGAGGCAAATCAGCCTTGCTGAAGGAAATCTGGTTGACCCCGAAGAATCTTTCTGCCATGCGCTCGAGCTGCTCGACCAAAGTTCCTGCTGGCACGTATGCTTCGTTTAGTGTTCTCATCAGAACCTTCTGATGCTCGACCGACTTCGTTAACAGGGACAACATGGACACCTGTTCAGGGTTCTCGCGCAACCGATACACCACTTCACAGTCCAGCATGCTTAATTCGTGGAAGAAAGCCTCCGCTTCTTCGATAGTTACAAGCACCTTGAGTGGGAAACGTTTCCGGGCAGCAACGCTCACTTCCCGTATGTCGGAGTATTTCCTGACGGGGGCATTTACTGGCGATTCACCTGTAATTTCCTTGCCCTTATAAGTCATCACTGACCGGTTGTAGTTCCATGGTATGGTGGTGGGGTCTGTCATAGGCTTCTGTGGCACGCGTCCGATAAACACTGGCTCGTCCAGTCGCGGTAGTTTTATCGTCCCCCGGGTCACATAGGCTTCTCTTGGCGCACTCATTGGCTTTGCTCCTTGTATTTGGAATTTCTTTGGAGCGCTCAGTACCAGAGGCATTTCTGGCCGACCTCGTAGGAGGTAAAGAACTCCACTCTTTCGAGGTGCTGTCATTTTTGCCTTTCCCGGATCGGCTTCGGCAGTCTCCTTCTTTTCTTCAACCTTATTCTTGATAGTCTCATCCTCTTTCCCCTTCTTTTCCTGTCTCAGGGCTGCCTTGGGTCTTTCTGCGTCAGCAATGGCGACTATGGCTTTCAGCGCAGGATCAAATTCTCTGTCCTTGCAGATCATCCCTATTATCGGCCTGTTGTTGTGAGCCAGTAGAGGGTTGTTTGTCACATTAGGGGCATCTTCATCTGTGAAAACTATCCTCTCCTGATTGATCAAGTCTTGCACGGCTTTCTTTAAGGTCCAGCAGTTGTCAATGTTGTGCCCTTCTGCTCCTGAGTGATAGGCACAGTATATGCCTCTTTGATAAGCCAGAGAGTTCGGATTCTGCCTGTTCTGAGGGACAGGCTGCAACAAGTTTTCCTGCCTGAGTTTGGGGAAGAGAGTGGAGTATGGTTCGCCAATGGGCGTGAAGTTTGGCCTCGTCTATTCGCGAGGGCGGAAGTTATTTTGGGGTGGTGGTTGATTGTAGTGGTTCCGGTAGGTGGATTGATTTCGTGGAGGTGGAGCTTGGTTTCTGTTAGCTTGTTGCGGTGGTTGTGCGAAGGGCTGAGCATTCATGACCATGTACGGCTGAGGAGTGTAAGCCGTATCCTGATGGGGGTAGTAGTGTTGTGGGGCTCTTTCTGCAAAGTGGGGCTTGGGTTTACGGTATTCCCTCGCTCCTGATGCAGCCATGGCCGATTCTTCTTTCTTCTTTCCCTTCGTTATTCCTCCAGACCCACCTTGGATGGCTTGGGAGGTTGCACGTATGGCCGCTTGGCTCAAAAGTCTGCCCGTTTTCAAACGATTCTCCGCCATTTTTCCGATTTTGATCACCTCTACAAAAGGTTTTCCCATCGCCGACATCATGTTCTGGTAGTAGTCGAGCTCTTGGGCTTGCAAGAATACACTGACCATTTCCTTCTCGTCTATCGGAGGTTTAACTCTCGAAGCTTGCTTACGCCATTGAATGGCGTATTCTCTGAAACCCTCTGAGGGTTTCTTCTTCAAATTGGACAGAGCATTCTGGTCGGGTGCAATATCAACATTGTATTGAAACTGTCTGATAAAGTCCCTAGCGAGATCATCCCAGATATGCCATCGTGAGATGTCTTGGTCCATGTACCACTCTGAGGTGATGCCGATCAAACTCTCCTCGAAATAACCTATCAATAACTCTTCTCGGCCGCCGACTCCTCTCAACTGATTGCAGTATTTCTTCAAATGACCAACGGGGTCGCCATGCCCGTCATACAACACAAATTTCGGTGTCTTAAAACCTGCTGGCAAGTGGACATGCAGAAATACACACAGATCCGCATAAGAGACACCTTTCGGCCCGCTCAAACCTCTCATGTCTCTCAGACTTTGTTCGAGGCTTTTTATTCTCTTATCCATTTCGTCCCTTTCCGACATTCTGGGGTCTTGACTTTGCCCAAGTGTAAGCTTGTATTGAGGGGGTTGGAGGTAAGCATTGGCAGGAAATCGAGTAGGTTCCAGCGGTGGTGTTGGTGCTTGGAATGTGAAGGAAGATGATTCATAGTTAGGCCTAGGTATAGTAGGCTGCGTTACAGTTGGACAAGGCGGGGCAACGTACAGGTTTGTGGCCCTATTTGTTGCCGACATGTGAGGATGGGAATCAGAAGGTGATGCGATGTGAGCCAAAGTGGCGGGATGCCCCTGCGGGGTGAATGAATAACCTTTAGGAATGTTGGAGATCTCGTCTGCCCTAGGAAGCACCTCGGGGAATCCGGGGATTGTACTTGGCGGTTCCTTCCCGTTATTCCACGAGTCCAACATTTCCAGTATGTAGGACCGCATCATTCTATTTTCCTCAGCAGCAGCTGATTCGAAGGTCGGGACGGCTAAAATTTCCTTTCCACTTCTTTGTCCTCCCGACGTTTCCATCATGCGCATACGCATGGCTTGGCTTTTTCAGCAGACCTCGATTCGGGGGCCGGAATGATAGAGACTGAGCTCTCCTCTGAAAGGGAAGCTGTTGGCGGAGGAATTTCAGTAGACATCTCGATGCTTCCTTTGGATCTCGTGAAGTACGTATGAATACTCCCTCTTGGCTTAGCGACGGGTAACTGGATGCTACCTTTTGACCTTGTAAAGTAGGAATGAGAGGCCAGAATACCACAAAACCAACCACCTTTTCTAAAAACCTAGAACGCAACCACAAACGGTGAGCGTGAAACAAATAACAGATAGGTAATTTCACATTGGGCGTGATGCAACCTATACGGTTAAGTGGATTTCTACATGCTTGCGTGCGTCATTCCGGCTTTTCTTTATACCTCTTTTTTTCCTTTCTTTATACTCTTTTTTTTTCTTTTTTTTAGGTTACGGTCGAATCCGACGAAGATTGCCTACGTATCACGACTCCTGCGTGAATCAGACCAAGCGTAGTTCGTGCAGAGTGTAAAACAAGATTTTGGATTTTCAAATTTTATTTTCCAAGAAAATGCTTACAAAGCCCAAAATTTGGAAATGACACACATACATATTTTGACCAAAAGGAAGACAAAGCTTGACAAAACAGACTCAAAAAATACAAAGGTACAGACTCGATCTAAACATGCTTTAAAGCCCTGAATTGCTGTGCTCGTGGAGCGTTGCTTGGCTTAGCGGCGGGTGGTGGTGCAAGGCCTCTGTATAGGTTTCTCAATTCTTTCATGATCTAGTAGATGGAATCTGTGACTGATTTAAAAAGGGTCTCGCGAGGCTTCCTTTCGCTTTCTAGGCAACTCACGGTGATGTATCGCCCAATTTCCTCAATTTTGCCCCGGATCATGCCCTTTCTTCTAACAGATGCCCTATTCTCTGATTCTTTGCCCTCAAAACCCGAGCGTTGTCGACGAGATGGTCTTGAAACTTCTCCATTTGTCTTTCCATTCTGGCCATCAAGTCATAGCAGCATTTTCTGTCCGCCCTTGCTTCTCGGCATTGTTTGGAAATCCGTTCTCGGAGAGTGTGGTTGGTTTCCTTCAACATCTCAACGGTTTCCTCATAACCCCTTTCAACTTGGCATAGATGCTCTTCCCGTGCCGCTGTGTCTTTTGCCCACCTGTCTTGGGTTCGTGCTAAGCTAGCCTCGGTTCTCTCCAATACACCTTTGTATTCAGTGACCTGCTTCTTCAAACTGGCTATCAGTCGACTATCAGCCGGACCTCTCGTCTGGTTGTAGGAGTCCCCTTTTAACTCTCGGATTTGGCTTTTAAGAATGTCATGCTCTTGGGCCGCTTTCTTTTTCTCTCCCTCGTCGAATGCAGCTTGGACTTCCTTTTCAAATTGAAGATCTGCGATTTGCTACTTCAACTTGCTTATGGTGGCCCTCTATTCTTCTTTTTTGCCAACCAGTCCCAATGCCCTTGTGAGCACTCGGCAAAATCCTGAAGATGAGGCCTTTTAGCTGGTCGTTCTGGTGCTTCTTCCTCAACCCCCTTTCGTTTATTCCGAGCCTGGTAATTGGAAGAGACTTCACCTCTGGACCGGTCGAGCACTCGAGTGTCTGCTGGCAAGAATTGGCATTCACTCCATATGCGTCGAGCCATCTTTTCATGGGATAAGTTTTCAATGTTGTCCTCAACTTTATAAGCACTGAGGTCTTCATCAGGGTGTTCTACCTAGCATCTCCCCAACTGTCTCAATACCCGATATGGAGCATAAGGCTGGATGCTTCGGAGCCCCATTAGAAGGAAATAGAGACCCGTGGCGGGCATGTACAGAACTTCTTCAATAGGCAACCAACCCAATGTCCACCCTATTTGTGCGGAAGTGATGGCACAGAGATAAGATACCCAATTCTGAGACCCTTTCTGGCAGATTAGCTTCCGAAACCCTATTGTTATATTCTTTGTTACAACTTTCCTCCATTGACATGTAACTCAGACGTTGAGGCTATTGATGCAGGTGCTCGGTCATCCACATCTGTAGCAACAAATTGCAACCCTCGAAGAAGTCGGCCCCGGCTTTACAGGCTGTGAGGGCTCGGTAGATTTCGGACAATATCATGGGGGCAAGTGTGCTTTTGTTTTTGGTCAATAACACATTGACTACCCCAGCTACTTTCAAATCAATGTTCTTGTCCTTTCTGGGAAACACCACTATACCCAGGAATGCTACCATAAATGCGAAGCCTATGTTCTTGCCACTTCGTCAGATTCCCTTTGCTACAAACTCCACTTTCTGGATCTTCGAACCCTGTTATGTGCCCATACCTCCAATATATGAACTTTAAGGTGGAGAAGCCTGCATCTAGCTTGGAATAAGGGACCCCCTTGCTTATCTTCAACAGGTCCATGAATTTATGAGATGTGACAGCCCTTGGAGCAATCCGATATTTGTGTCTCATCCCTTCGGTGAAACCCATGTACCCTGCAACTTCCTCTAAGGTCAGAGTGAGTTCAAAATCCGAGAACTAGAACACATTACGAGCCGGGTCCCAGAACGTGACCAAGGCCTTTATGATGTCGCCTCCGGGTCGGATAGTGAACAAATCAACGAGATCTCCCAAGTGCAACCAAATTTTATCCTGCTCTGATTTTACAAAATCTCCCCATCACAGGCGTAGTTCCAATGGGATCTTGCTTCTGACTTTTAATGGCAAACTTGACCCCATATTTATTCTGCACATTTGTTGAGACAGCTTTAAGCAACACACACTTTACACACTTTACCAGACTCTATGCAAAACACACTTTGACCAAGGATGGCCGTTCGCGCAAAGTTAGCCTTCCGGCGTTCCTTTCGGAGACATTCGACTTATACTTGACAAACGGTTTTATTTCACAAATTTTAAAAAAAATCTTTTTCAAAAAATAAGATCCGCCATTGCGGTTACGGCCTTTAGAACCTCGAGGACGAGGAATCAAGGCTATGTGGGCTATTTCGGTCAAAAATCCAAAAAATGACCAAACTGTCATCTTGCGTGAAGTCAGCCTTCCGGCGTTCCTTTCGAAAACATTCGGCTATGCTTGACAAAACGGTTTCGCCCGACTCTTTTTGAAAATTTTCATTTTGGCTATTTTTTGCAACAAGAGGAGTTGGACCCGATGGGGGTTGCCTACGTATCCCACACCCTATGAGAATCAAACTGGCGTAGTTCGGGCTAAGAAGAACTAAATTTACAAAACACACATTTTTTCAAAGTATTCTCTTTTTGAATTTTGACAGAATGTCGACACCATTTTTGAAAAATTAGCGGTTACTGTTGAAAGTGTTTCCTTTTTCTTTAAACCGGTCAGCATGCAGATCCGAACAAATGAATGCATAAATCAAACAGGATGCAACAGGATGGTCTTTTCTGTTTCAGGTTGCTATTCCTAGACGGGCCCAACCCCTGTGTTGAGCCCCCTGAGTCAAATGCAACGTGATGCAAATAAGCGTTTCCTACTAGGGATCCAGCATGAAGATATGTCATACTAGGTTTCAAACCTGGTTTTTGTTCTAGACCTGGCTTACCCAAGCGGACAACTCGGGCTGAGGATGGGAACTGCGTCTTGGTAACCAAAGGGCTATCCAATTTTGCGATTCCACCAGATCCTCGTTCTAAATTGGGATTTAATGACACTAACAGAAAGAAGTCACGACCAGCGCGCACTCCTCGGGAGGGAGAAGAGAAGGGTTTCGGCACAGTTTATATATACAGTTCAAATAATATCAAAGCGGTAAGCAATTAGCATATTAAGCATGAAGCATGTGAAAATCAGATATAGAAAAATACAACAATTCATCTAAGCTCGAATTCTGAACCCTGAACAGAATGTTCTGGGTTCTTGTCCCCAGCGGAGTCGCCAGAGCTGTCACACCTCCTTTTTGCGCGCACCCACCCCGAGGGATAAATGCGCAAGGGAGTTTTTTCAATTTAAGTGACAATATTCGAAATGGGATTGTTTAATTAATTTCAGAGTCGTCACTTGGGAAAGGTTTGGCTTTTGGTGTCCCAAGTCACTGGTTTATTTTTAATCCCAAATTCGAGGAAATATTCGACTTTCCTATTGAAGTCTGCGAACCAAAAATTCTAAGTAAGGAATTCTGTTGACCCGAGGGAAGGTATTAGGCACCCTCGAATCCCGTGGTTCTAGCACGGTCGCTTAAATTATTGTATTTGCTAAATATCTAATTTTTATACATACTGTAACTTATGTGCTTTTTATTGATATTGAACCGCTTTTATTATTATTTTAAAAGACTTGCAACGTCGTGGAAACATATCTCGAATCACGCCATAACCAGTGTACCCGTGACTATTGACACACCTCGACTCCGTTGAGATTTGGATTTGGGTTGCAACCAGTGCATGCCCAAGTTTAGGGAGGTATTAATTTAAACACATCCTAAAAAAGAGTCTAGCGCTTTATTATATTGGGAAGGCCATGAAATTCGCTAAACGACCTGTCCCGAAATCTAAGCATTAAATATGTACATTTATGAGGGCCCACGATTTGTGATTTTTGTTCGGGCAATATACTTTATTTTAAAAGGATATCCTAAAAACGACTATGTTCTTCTATATTAAGTGCGTCTCTAAATGGAAATAAAATCCTAACTTTATTTACATGCATCTCGTATAATTACCTATTCTAATATACATACATTGACATCATTTTAAGAGAGGGGCTGTTTTATTTTGGGCCGGGGCTATTACTCGTTTGGCCCAGGTCCGTGTAATAGGCAGTTTCGGACCTGGGCCTCTTTGATTTGCCTAAAGGTCCAGTTAGGATATTGGTGTTCGCATTTTTTTTAGACTTGTAACAGGATATGTAAACTTAAATATTGAAAAGGCTGAATATGCAAAACGTGAATGGACTGAAATATAAAGATATATTTATATTGTTCTACAATATTTGGAGTTACTACATGGATTCACTTAGGTAAGGAAACTTAAACTAATTAACTGAAAC